GCGCCGGTGCCACGTGGGCGGCAGCGGCTCCCCCGCCGCGCGGCGCCCGAGCCCGGCCCGGCCGCGGCTGACACCGCGTAAAATGACATAAAGTGACTTCAAATGACATCAAATGACATAAAATAAAATAAAATAACACACGGGCTCAGGTGGCCTGCTCAGGTGCACTTCCTTCCAGGCGACCCACCCTGGCTCTTCCCTGCTGCACAAGCAGCCAAAACGTGATGGAGCAAGTGGCAGAAGCCAGAGTTCACCGGAGGAAGACTCTTCTCAGGGGAGGATGAAGCTGGGATGAGGAAAACTGCAGGTTTCTCGGATACATCCCGTTTGTGGAGTGTTTCTGAAGGTCTCCTGGGTTCCCTTCGAGGCAGATGGACGGTCTTTAGAGCAGGAACAGGTTCAGCCTGATTCTCTGCTCTCGCGCTCCGGAGCGAGCAGGTTCAATGCTGCAAAATCCGTGAAGATCCGGGATCCGCTGCAGCCGGGTGCTGTGGGCACACACGCCGGCACGCACGCTCTCCACAAGAGATAGACATTTCCTGGGGCAGTCGCCGTTTTCCTCCCCGCTGCTGAACATGCCGGGAACGTAAGTGCAGCAGTCCAGGGAAAGGTGCTTTCAAGGAGCCCACTTAAAGCTAAATCACGCGCAGCAATATTGCAAACTGCTCAGCATGGCCTCGGCCTGCCCCTAGGGAAGTCACGGCAATTTTGGCATTTTCCTCACCCGCAAGAGAACCGACCCCCCAGCACTTACTCCTCAGAACTGCGTGTGTCTCTGATGACTACACTGATTTCTCGTCCTTGACACATGAGCAAACGCGTAGCCTGACGCGCACCCCTGCTCTGCCCAGGTCGCAAGCACGTGCAAAGCTGCTCCTTTTCCTTAAAGGAAGGGCTTTGAAGACGAGGCAGCCCGAAGCCGCTAGGAGAAGCTCTAACTGGGGTTCCTCATGGCAAATACACAATGACATGGAAAGGTACCGATGTCGCAGGACTCGCCACTGCCTGAACCTGTGCTGAATTCACCCAGCTCGTCCTCACCCCGCAGTCTGCCACCCCTGGCATCATCTTACGGGAAAACCGCCATGAACCATTTCAGAGAGGTTTTTGGGTTTTTTTAAAAAAGTCTAATAAAATTCTCTCCTTATTATGCCAAGCACTTTTACAGGAGAAAAAACGGAGAAAACACAACTAAGACTAAAGATTGTCTTGCAAGAACATCACAGTCCAACTCTTGTGCCTTTTCAGGGCTAGCAAGTGCTGCAAGTTCCAGCGGACGGCAAGGATCTTT